AAAATATTACGATAAAAATCTATGAACTGGCAGTGTGTCCCAATACTTTTTTGACTGACTGCATGTTACCATTAAAGTGGGAAAACCGTTATTTCATAGAATAACTAAGTATTTCATGAAATAACTAGACAAGTCGGTTAAAGTATATAAAATTATTGAATTCTACGATTTAAGTAGGTATTCTATACAATAACGATTACTTGATCGTGAAAGTATGAAATACGGCACTCAAAAGTTCTTCGAACCGATTCTAGCTGCTTTTAGTCAGTTTTGAAAAGCTTATAGTTGCTTTAAGGAAGGAATTTTTCGATTAGAAACAAGAGATGGCCGAATAAAACTATTGTACTATAGATTTCAGCAGGGCCGGCTGTAGCAGTTTTGCCACCCCGGACAAAAATGGATAATGCCGCCCCTCTCTCCAAAGCAAAAAAATTATAGTTAAAAAAAGACAAATTGTTCACACAGATACACACCGAAAAAACTTGAATAATTCTTTCGAACAAAAAGGCAACATAACAATATTATAAATAATTTTAAGTCAAGTACAAAATAATTCGAAATTAAGGACATAATTACCTATTATTATTTAAAACGAGTAAAATGTAAGAGAAGGAATCGTCCATTTCAGCAGGCCAATTTCTTCTAAAAAGAGTACTGATGGTGGGGATCACAAACGTTTTTATATATATATAACTTATAGTAACTACACCCAAGTCTAAAATAAAACATCTCTCATGTGACTCTCTATATCTAGAAAACTCTTATTGCCCTGTTCCCTTTTGGGTAGCGGACACCGGACGTCGTATGGGTGAAAGGAATGTCCGTTTTGACAATACTTCGGGATGGGGAGAAAGTTAATAGTGTGAAAGATGTGTAAACTTATCATATTTCGTGATTGAAATTACCCCCCAACTCAATATTAAGATACCCGACTACCTAAAATCATGATTTTTCAAAATTGAAAAAATTTTTTATGATTTTTTTTTTAAATCCATCTTGTAAATAAAAATACCAATTTTTTATTTTCCGTTTACTGGAAAAAAAACTACAATGTCTTAATAAAAGAAGATGCCATAATTTTAAAAGATGTCAAATTTAAAAAGCGTTTTACTCAAAAATTTTTTTTTTGGGTTAAACGGGATAGCGATTGCTAAAAAAATTTTGAAAATAATTTGCTAAAATTTTTTTGTGTATGTTTAAAAGTAAAGTGTTTTAACCTTCAGATATAGAATCACCGTTTTTTTCAAAATTTACAGTCCTTTATGTGAATATAATCACTGTCTTTTAAGCAATTTCATATAGTCATAAGATAAAGTGCTCTGTTTTTGAAAAAATTAAACTATCTCTTACCCTGAGGTCATTTCAAACATAATAATAAAAGTAAAACATAAAAATTGAAAAATTGAAATTTGTTAAAAAATTTTTTTTGCAAAAAGGGCCCCTTTATGAAAATTTTATGTACTTTTTCAAGTTTTTCCTTTTTAATAATAATACAGATTTTTTTTGTTTTCAATGTTGCGGTTTTTTCCTTAAAATATACTAAATCAATCTTAAAATCACAAAAAATCCCATATCTCCATTTTTTCAAAAAAAAGTTGTCGCAAGTAGTCGGATACCTTAAGTTTCAACATGAAAGAAAACTGACATTAAACATACAGAGTACAAAATAAGGAAGTAAGACACGTAAAATGGAATATTAAATTCACACCCAATAATATTTCAGAAAATTATATAAAATTTTTTGCAACAAAAAGAAAATATTTTTCAAATTCTATCCAAATGCCGATCCGGGCAGGGGTCCGGTTTGTCCGGCCCTAGAACCGCTCCTGATCTCAGTTCAGTATATGCGAGCGATAATTCATTTCCATTTAAGAAGTTCCAAACATTGACACAACACTTCGATCTATTGTACACTGCGGCACTGGACAAGGATTTAAAAAGTGCTTGTGTAAAAAAATGTGTAATAGTAAAAAGTTTGCTTGTATAAAAAATAATATGCTATGCCATCAAAGTATCATCACTCTAACTCTTGCTCTGATAAATAATTAAAAGTATAAGATATAAAAAGGGGGTATTTCATAAAATTTAAATCAATATTCTTACATTTTTGTTCGTGAAAGTTTAGACAAAGATTTTATGAAGCAACAGTTTTCTCTCCCAGCATGTGTTTTGATAATATTCAAATATAACTAGTTCGGATACACATTCTTTTTTTTTCTTTCTGCTTAACTAATGTTAGCAATGTGATCAATATTGAATTGAATCATCTGCTTTTCCTTTTATTTATCAGTTAATCATCCGCGATAGAGATAAAATGTTATTTCCGAGAGTTTAGCTATTTAAGATCAAAATAACTTTGAAATTGTTTATTTCTGACTCTTTAACGGTCTATCATTAGTTATTTCATACAATAACAAGGTAAAGCATGAAATTTTTCATCTATTACCTACTTTAACTGACTTGTCTAGTTATTTCATGAAATACCTAGTTATTTTATGAAATAACTGAATTATAAACTTTAATGGTAATATATATATATAAATAAGGATGTTTAAGCCAAGTTGAATTTAAGAGTTGAGTATTTCACTTTTATTTCACCCTCCGACTGTTAGTAATTACAAATATTATCAATGCGTGTTTCATTTTCCATATTATAGTTATGCAACTAAAGCTCCTGACCTTTAAAGATCTAAAGTTTGAAAGATAGAACGACAATATATTTTTCGCGCACCAAAGGCCCATCGAATTCATTATGTTGTGTGTGTTACTTTTTAAATTCATTAATGTATTATTTCGAAATTTTAACTAATTCGTAGCCAGTGTTAAGTAGAAGAGAAAGATTGATATATAATACAAGTATTCTTGTATGCATTAGAACATATTTCGAAATTAACTGTTATCTGATGGGCATTAACGCTATTTATATTCAAGGGAATTTCGAAACGCTAAAATTGCTTCGTATTCAGTAACATCTTTGTTGTTGCGATTGTTTGACTAAAAGGTCCCTGGTAAAAAATTATTATGTAGTTCATTCACTTTGTTCCAAATTGTGTTAGCTATTAACACATATTATCTATTTAATTTATAAGTTTATTAATTTTTTTAATTATGTGGTACTTTAAACTTATTTATAATATATATTTATTTATATGTGCTAAATATTGATAGTTTTATTAATATGTAATAACTAATATTTTCTAGCGGCTTAAAATTTTTCATTTGCTATAGGTATTAATCTTTTCGATCTATGTATTATACTGGATTTTTTTCCATCTAAAAATTATTTTTTGTAAAAACCATTGTTGAATAAATTTTGTTGCCTTTTTAAGCTTTTTTATGACAAAAAGTAAGGGGAAAAATATGTGTTTGTATTTTTCTTTTAGTTAAAATATTGGTTTTCCCCCAAGAAAATGATTTAACATTGAACTGTTTTTATTGTGAAATCGAATGTCTTGGTATTTTAAGTCAACAGTGCCATAGATTCTAATAACTCATTGAACAATTCTTTGTTATCACGTGAAGTGATGTAGTAGTATATAAGATAGAAGGTATCCTTCTCAGGATATAACCCTCCTTAGTTAATTGTTGCTAAAAAATAAAAGTTGTCATGAATGGTCCACTTTATACTTTTAATGCCCTTTGAATTGATAGCAAACTAATTCATGACGGTTAATAAATACAGTCACGTGTTTTCTCTCCTTCCTTCCTCAGTGGCTCGAGGCCAGGGTGGGCCTTGGCCTTCTCAAGAAGCCTTTTCCAGACCAGACTTCTCCTGGGGGCTAAACGTTTTTTTTGTTGGTTTGAAAATCATTTTTCCAGTACTTGCCTGGTTCAATTACTTAAATGAAAGAAAACCCCGTTCTGCATGAAATTTGTATTAATAATACCAAAGACCTTTCCCTTCTTTTCTCAATTTTAATTCCAAAACCATTTAAAATTTTTCTGATACAATCCATCCAAGGTTTGGTTGCCTTTTTAGTTGGATTGGGGGTAAATTTGGAGACGGCTTCGAATTTTCTGAAAGGGCTCCATTTTTTTGTTTTTTTTTGATGAAGTTAAAATTTACAATTAAACTTATTTAAAATTTTTCCGGTCATTTAAAAAATTTAAATTTCCGTTTTTATTTGTAAAAGTTAAAATTTAAAAATTTTAAAGTTTTTCAATTAAATCTTTTATTTGTTTTTTTAAATTAAGTGTTTTATAATAAAAAATTATTAGCTAAAATTTGTTTGTTTATAAAATGAAAAACAAATTGTTATTATGAAAAGGAAAGTATTAATAATTCTCAAAATGTTTTAATTAAAATTTTCTTTTGAATAAATGTGTATTTTTAAATTAAGTGCATTTTATTTACCTATGGGAATTATTATTGTTTAGAAATATGTATTGTTTTATATAAAGACTGTAAAAGCAAATGTGTAAACGCATTGGCAACAGAGAAGCGTATGAACTAATTGGCTCGAAACATGTGTTTGTAGTTATCGTGTGGCTTTGACGTCACAGAATTTAGTGCATTAAATAGGTTTTCAGTATTTTTAATAATATAATCGTCTAATATGTATACTAGAAAATTCGTCAACGTTTATTTGTGTCATCTATTTTCTCAAGTAATAAAATAAATTTTCAAAAATATATCATAACAGTGAATAATTTCTCTTAAAGTTTTAACTGAATAGCAGTAGAACTCATGCAAACAAGTAATATTAAAAAAATTTAAGTCAATTCCTACTTGGGTCAACAAAGAAACATTTTATTTTAGAAACTTTTTATTCAATAGTTACAATTAATATAAATATGCATGTACATATAACAATCAATTATTAAGTGGAAAAATAGAAAGCGATTTTCCTTGCAATTTTACTTTTCCTCTCTGTATAGGGAGTTGAACTGCTACTTTTGTTTGTTTATTTATTAATTAAATTTAATTATTCTCTAATAAAATAGTATAGCAATAATAATAATAATAATAATAATAATAATCTCATTCTCCAAAATTAGGCCGTTTCAGGTGGGATTCGAACCCACGACCTTTGGATTAGAAATCCATTGTGCTAGAGGGACACAACAAGCGGTTTTTCTTTCTACATATGATGTTGGAATATTATTTTTGTTTCTATTTATTCATTTTTTAAATTTAATTAATGAAAAAATATTTGAAAAAAAAAACTGTATTAATATCCAGTGTCATCCACTACAAGGTTAAAAAAATGTATTTGAACTTGAATGGATGAATATAAAAGTATTTTATTAACGGTTAAAATTTGAACAAGATATATATATATATATATATATATAGGGAGAGAGTGAACTAATAGTAAGAATTGAAAAAATAAGAATTTTGTTTACTTATTAAATGTTGAATTGCTTTAATTTATATATAAAAAGAAATACAGAAATAAAATTGCAAATATAGAGTTATACTATTTAGTATTTTAATACACGACATCACACTATTTTCATTTTCAAACTATTTCATCTTAATTCTGTTTATTTCTTGGCATGCATTTTGAAGAAACCATCTTGATAACGCAATGAGTTTCTGCCCTTTAATAATTATTTCCATTCCATACGCGGAATGCTTGCATAACATCAAATATGTATAAGAAATAAATATGTTCTGTGCTGGTTCTAGTTTAAAAATGCAGAAAATTCTTTTCAAGTCTGAGATAAATACCCCTTGGGATTTTGAATTTAATTAAATATTTTATTTCAGATGTATGGGAGACGGACGAAAAAATTTTCTTTTCATTCAGTTAATTTGTCTTTATTATATATTTTTATTTACCGTGATTGTTGAGTTTTGCTTACAATTTAATTATTTATGATCGAAATGAATAATTAATTAGAGTAGAGTCATAAGTAGTTTATTTAAATAATCGTGCAATAAATACTTGTATTAAAATATTAGTTTTCTTGAAAATTTAACAATAATCTTGTCCTAAAAAGGCATTCAACTCCCACCCGCCACCAAGTTCCAGAGTAAGTAAGAAGCAAAATAAATTTTATGTTCTGAAGAGTTAATGAAATTCGTAATTCTAATTTCTAATGCTTTAGCAGAAAATGAAGAAGGTATGCATTGCAAATGGATAGAAATAATTATATAATTGACAAATTATCTGACACTTTATATTCTGGCTCAACAAAAAATTGTTGATGTCACAGATTGATGATTGTACAAGACAGTAGCGCACAAGAATTTTCAGGGGATCCGGGTGAAAGTTCACCATTCTTGTATCATGCTCCTTTTGATTTTGTTGATTTTCTGGAACAAAACACAGTAAAAAACTAATTATTGAATAAATAATTAGCATTAATTAATAAATCATTAAAAACAAATACTTGATTAAATTTTACTACTATATACTTAGAATTATAATCAATCGGGAAAAAATCAAGGGCTTTGGGGGGTCGGACCCCTTTTATGCACCACTGGTACAAGATGAAAAAATTCTAATGACACAAAATGTTTGGATCCTTGTTTTCAAAAATTATTCGTGTTTGGCAAGAATTTGATTCAACAGTCTTGAAAGAACGAGGGCAGTTCCCAAAGTAAAGCAGAAAGCCTTCTGAGAAAAAAACTTTTATTCACGAACTTAAGGTATCCGACTACGTTCGAAGAACCGTGATTTTAAAAAAGCGCATAAATGGATAATTTTCGTAATATTTAGAATACATGATAGAATACAGATTAGAATACATGTATAAAATTGTTTTAAGGACATTTTGACAAAAAAAAATTTATTTAAATGCAATATTTCGGCAAAAAATTAACTTAGAATAATCTTTTTCAAATGTTCTCCTTTTGTGAAAAATGCTTCTATTATAATAATATTTTGCCTGTATATAGTTCAGACCTCTGTATAGAGGCTCAACTATAATTTTTGAAAAATTAACATTATTTTCAGGGTTACAATCCATTGAAATAATTTTCGGCGTTTTTTTCTTAAAATGTATCGCCTCTATTGTCGTAAAACATGGATAAACCCACTTCTTATATATTTCAAAAGTTCTAGCTAAGCCTCTGTACAGAGGGCTGAGCCTATCCAGCAAAAATATTAATATAATAGAAGCATTTTTCAAAAGGAGAATATTTTGAAAATGGGTCTTCTATGTTCTTTTTTGTCAAAATATTGTACTTAAATAATTTTTATTGTAATACTATTCTTAAAAAATTTTTATATACATTTTCTAATCTAAGTGACACTAAATATCATAAATATTATCCATTTATACGCTTTTGAAAAATCACGGTTTCGAACGTAGTCGGATACCTTAAAGGAGTATGAAGGGTAGTAAAACACTAAGATTGTCTTGTTTAGTTGGTATACCAATGTATATAAATTGGAATAGAAGAAATTGGTTGCAATGTTTTGGAGTCATGTTGTGTCAACCGACTAGAGTGGTTGTTGGTGTTTGGGGGTTGGAGTAAATATCAGTCATAACCAGTTTTAAATTCAAATTTATTATCCCTTTGATTTAAACCACACAACCAAAAAACGCACTAAATAACTAATTAGAAGAGCAATCGCTCGGCTTCTTTACATACTTTGGAGCACTCTGGACTTCTACGCCGTAATTCACCTTAAATCTCTTACTTAATTCTGCGACCTCCGGTTGTAAATCTTAAGGCTCAATTTTTCACTTATTTTTCAGTTATCAATAATCGAGCATCCAGCGACTAACTTTGCGAACCTAAATGCCCACGGTTAAATAGGCAACTCATTTAAGTAATTCAAGTCTTCTTCGGGAGAAAGTTTTCAATGGAACATACAGTTAAAAAGAATAATTTAACCCAAGAGGATTAGTTAAAGGTTTGCTGATAGACCCATTACAATGTGGCTTGTTGAATATGAGCATCGTTTTGGAATTACCAGTTTCCCACATACTTCTTCAATGGTCTGAATAGATGAAAATTATTTAGTGCGAGGTCCGGGCTGAACAGAGGGTGTTCAAATAAGTCTCAACAAAAATGTATTTGCTTATCTCCCACGTTTGTTAGCCTCTATCGAATTCCGTGAACCAAAACTACATTTATTTTGGAGACATTAGGCTCGTTCCGTACACAGGTACCCATTGCTGATTAATTTTAACGAAGAAGCATTCTTGACGTATAACATTACTTAATTCAATGACCGACCTCTTTTCTTGGTACTTCTTCATTTTCTAACCGAGACTCAGGCACCTTGCCGTATAAAAATCCATTTACTAGTGAGGTGCGATTGTTGTGATATAGTCTGTAATCTAAACAGAAAATTTAGTTCGTAAGGTGATTTTTTGTGCACTTGTCAAAGCCTTCTCAACCTTACTTTTTAAAACACCTCCGTAATTGTGTGATTTTGTTAAATCAACCAAAATAAAATAATTTGAAACCATATTTTGAAAGTGTGGCTTGAAAATGTTTTAAAATAATCTAAATTGATTGATCTTGTTGATTGCCATTACACTTGGGAGCTACACGAGGACTACTGTTTATAATTTTTAACCACATTCACAAGAGACCCACTGAGTCTGATCTTACATTCCACTCCCCACCAAAGTGAGAGCTTTGAGTCACGAACATATTTAATATGCATCGACTCCACCACACAACCACAGTAGCGCCTTAAGACTTCTTGAGAGCCTGGACCCCTGGGCAAAAGAAAACCTTACCGGTGAACCTTTTATCGAATTTGGTCTATACAGGGTCTTATCGAATTCAGAGAGGTGATAGTAAGCATCATGGGAACGGCAAATCACCATAGAACATAGGATCACAAACCACGTTTAGTCGGTGAAAATCGCGATAATAGTAGCCATCGGGAGGATGATGAGCCAGACGAGGGGAATGGCCAAAAAATACGGGGATTTGGAGAGCCACTGTATTCAAATTTCCCACTTTTTCTGGAGTTGCTGTAGGGAATATCATTCACTGAGCTCCACGACGTGTGGTTTGGACATGATGGTGCAACAGAATTTTTTTTTGATTATGGGGCGTAATCACCTCCCTGCTGCACATCCCGGGAGGTGGATTGAAAGCAGAAGACATATTGCTTGGCCGAGCTTCCCAGACCTCAATCCCTTGGCTTCCTTTTTTGGGCCGAAATTGCTTGTGTTGTTTTGTTGTCGTGTATGTCAAAGTGCAAAGGTGGTAATAACAAAACATAAAGATATCCCTTTAAACCCCCGGGGATTTTTTATTTTTAAATATTAAATTTTGGTTTTAATTATATGGGATCCCAATGACTTTGGGGAAAAAATAATAAAAATTCCCTTCCCCCCCGGGGCGTGACAGTACCCCCCGTTCGTGCGGGTTTGGCGTTATTTTTTAAAAACGGCCAGGGTTTGAGTTTACATTTTTAGCTCAAAGTTGATGAAAACAATCTTCATTCATTTAAAAAATTGTTACAAATAAGGAAATTATTGATACATAAATTCCTTTTATAATTTTTTATTTACAGAAAAAATCTTTTGTTTTTTTTGACATATAAGAAACTTTCTTTTTTACAACATGTTTTCGAACGTTTCGAAATTTCAAATCTCCCTTGCGAGGCCTTGAAATGTCATCAACACATAAAAAATGACTATACATGTAAAACCTTTTTTTATTCTGGAATGGGGGAAAAAACCATGACATGTAAAGCATTGGGATTAAACACTTCGATCTTTTTGCGAGGGGGAAATTTCAACACTGTTATCTTCATCATAAGTTAAAATCTTTTGTTAGTAAGTGGGGGTGAAAAGCTTCCAACTATTTCTTAAATTTTAAATCCTTTTTGTTTTTAGGTTTTATTTTTTTTGATCTTTTTCCAGAACCCGAATTTTAAAAGGTTTTTTTAATTTTGTGAGCTTTTTGGGGAAAAAACCCAAAAATTTGTCTTTAATTCAAAAAATTCCCCCCTTGTTTTCTTTATTTAAAATTCTTCTTTTTTTTCTTTTTTAAAAACACCTGAAAAAGAAAAGAAAAAGGGTTTTTTTTTAAAACCCCGGTTTTTTTAAAGCACAGTATTCCATGAAAAAAAAAAAATGTATCAGAAAATTTTTTTTAAAAAAAATATATATATATATATATATATATATATATAAACCACACC